GTTCGTACGGAGGGCGAGGCGCGCTTGACGAGGGTGGCGAGGAGGTGGGTGAGGGCGAGGATGGCCCGGAGGGACGTGGTGGCCTCCGAGAGGGCGGCAAAGGCCTGGAAGAGTCCCTCCACCTCCGCCTGCTGCTGCTGCTGCTGCTGCCCGCCGTTGCCCCCCGAGCCGCCTCCCCCCGCGCGACCGCCCTGCGCGGCGCTCAGAGCGGCCAGGAAGTCCTGGTCCAACCAGGACACCAACCGCACACCCCCCCCCATCGCCGCGACACGACGACGACGACGACGACGACGATACGCAACACCCGTGGCCACAAGTGAGGACATGAGCAGCGGACGGGAGCAGCAGGCCGCGGTGCGGCCCGCACGGGCAGGGAGAGGAGGAGGTGCCGCGGTGGAAGAGGTGGGAGTGGTGCCTTGCGTAGGGCGGCGCAATCGGGAGCAAAGAGGTCGTCGAGGAGGAAGAGCTTCTCAAAGCAGCCCAGGAGGAGCACCATGCAGCTTTCCAGCTCGGCCGCACTCTGTGACGCGCCGCTCTCCACGGGATCCTGCTCGTGTGCGTGTGCACCTCCGGCTTCGTTAGAATGAACCAACCATTGCCGGCAAATTGTGGAGGATTGGGGGGGGGGGCAATGGAGGGTGCGCGTGGAGGAACAGTATGAAGACATGGGATGGCCATGTATGGTGGATGGCATAGCAGGGTATGGTACGCAACGTGTATACGTACGGAGGGCTCGATGAGCTGGGAGCTGGTGTCGGTGCCGGCCGCCGCCGCCTGTCGCTGGGCGAGGGCGAGGGAGGCGTGGGCGATCCGCTGGAGGTGCTCGTGCATGGCCCCAAACACGGGCACCCACCCCCACGCCCCCAGCACCTGTGCCCCCTGCTCTCACCACACCATGCGTGGCACACGCACGCACGCACACACACACACACACACACACACCGACACACACACACCGACACACACACACACACACACACACAACCTCCCACTGATCAGTGCCTGAATCGGCGCTTGGAGCGGCTGGCTGATGATAAAAGAGGAGGAGGGGAGGAGGAGCGCGTGCCTTGGCCACGAGCGAGTCGGAGAGGACGGGAAGGTGAGGACGGCGGCCGGGACCCGCCCGCTTGGTCGACGCCACGAGATGGGTCAGGCGGCTCTCCACTTCCCCCGCCACCGCGAGCACCTGCCCCGCCTGCCGAGAGCGTGTGTGTCGTGTGTGGTGTGTCGTGTGGTGTGTCGTGTGAGGGTGCTGGACAATACGTTGCCGGGGAAGCTGGACTGGTGGCACGCGTACGTCGAGGGTGACAGCCCGGGGTTTGCCTTGTTGACTCTCGGTGTCCGGATAGGCCAGCACCAGGCACACGTGCGGCTGCTCGAGCCACGTGGTCGCACACGACCAACGACACACAGTCAGGCGAGACCACGCCCCAGCCGCCGCCGCCGCCAACGGGGGGGGGGTTGTGGTGAGGGATGGGCGCGGGCGCGCGCACCTTGATCTCCCGGAAGAAGGGTCGTAGGGCCGCCACGTACTCGTGCTGCTCGGCTCTGCCGCCAGGTTTCCTGGAGGGGTGTGAGCAAAAGGCAGCTCGAGGCCACGTGGGAGATTACGCATGGAAAAGGGGGGCGGGCACATGCCAGCCGGTACGTACGGCGAGAGCGTCGTGGCGTCGGCCTCCTCGTCCCCGCCGTTGGAATGCTTGCGCTGCACCGCGGTGGTGGTGGTGGCGGTGGCGGTCGTGGTGGTGGTCGTGGTGGTGGTGGTCGTGGTGGCGGCGGTGGCGGTGGTGGTGGGGACCAACAGTGAGCAGCAGCAGCAGCAGGGG